CAAACACCACTGCGTCAAGAAGAAGCCCTGGCGGTTTTGTCCCCTGGCTATCGTTAGCCCTCAAGCCAGTTCCATTGTGGTGGGAATGCAGGCGACTGCTCTTGCCGAGCACACTGCCCAAGCCCTCAACCAAACACCCTGGGCTCTGGGCCTCCTGACAGAGGAAGGAGACCAAATGAGGGAAGCAGTCCTCCAAAACCAGGTGGCTTTGGACATTTTAACTGCTGTCCAAGGAGGGACCTGTGCCATCTTGCATGCTGAATGTTGTGTGTATATTGCAGATAATAAGAAAAATGTGAGCCAGGCGCTGTCTGCCCCAGCTGAAGAGATCGATGACATTCAACGCCTGACAGCAGACCCCCTACCGGAATGGTGGGCTCACCTTTCCTCCTCCTGGACGTGGGCCCTTGCCCTTGAGGGGGAGGACCGTGTCTCCTAGTGGCTTTCTGCTGTTCCTTGTATTGCTGTTGTGGGCTTTGGATACAGGGCTCTGCCATGCTTGCATGGAGGCCTGGGAGGCAGGCTCCAGCCTCAGTGGGCAAACAGGTTGGTGAGGAACCCTGAAGGGGTGGCGTGTAGGGAAGAGCCGGTCAGGCTCCCTCACCTGGCCATCCGGCGGAACTGCAGTAGCGACTTGCCAGGTACAGTCGATGGAATGCAGTGCAGGCGCCATGCATCTCACTGATGTTTATGTTTATGTGCCTTATATAAACACCTTGGCTGTGCACCACCTTTGTTCTCCCACAGTATAAAGCCCGGCCATTGTACCAGGCAGGCGGTACCCAGAGAGCCAGTGAATAAAGCATGTCTACTCTGCCTACTGCTCCACGCATCTTCTTCCAGCTCCCAGAGGTGTGGGCACCCTGTCCTGGGGCCATCCCCGACCCCGACATAGCAGCCAGCAGGATCTACCATTTTCTGGTTCCTCATTAAACTTTCAATCCAAATCTCTTTCCTTGGTATATAGGGACCCTAAATTATGGTCCCCTCTTCAGGTCGCCAGCTTCCTCTTACGTGCTCTCCCCCAGCTCCTCCCAGCCATTTTAATGTTGGCCTACTTGCGGTGTCTCAAACTCCCATGCTCTTTCCCGCCCTAGGACTCTGTCTGTGGGCTCTTCGCAAGGCTGGCTCCTTTCATACTCACGGATCAGTTTACATCTGGGCCCAGGAAAGGGGGCCCTGTATCAGTACCTTGTTTGTTTTCTTCATAATACTTAACAATTTCCTTTTTCTCCATCTCCTCTGCTGAGGTGTAGGTTCCATGTTTTGCTCACTCTCTTGTACACAAGTGGGGGAGGAGGGGCTAGTGCGGTACTTCACATTTATTTATGGAATGACAAAATTTTAAAAATTGAGTGATAAAACTGTCTTATCGACAATTAATTCCAATGGGCTCTTTAGCTCTTTAATGTGTTTCCAATCTGTCTATTCTGCTATCAATATTCACTCTAAGGGGAAACAAACTCTTACTATAATACATTGATTGGATAATCTCTTATGTCATTATAATCTCATTTGCATTGTAGTTACTATGACTCCCAGCATGTATCTGATGCCATGACAGTTTTGGAGAAACCAAATAAGGAAGAAAAGCGGGAAACTGAGGAGGTACATCAATGGGATGTCACCAAGCCCTACCCTGGGAGGGATAAAAACTTCCAGTCGGGACTTCCTGTGTGGGACTGAGTTCGCCCACACTTCCCCCTCTCTCATGTATGTACTTTCATTTCAGTAAGCACCCCGTGCGTCCCTATGTCTGTCTCGCTCTTGAATTCTTTCTTGCGTGGAGACCAGAAGCTGGTCACCACTGCTCCTGGTTCAGTCCTGTCTTGGACATCCCATGAACCTCCAGTGACACTAAGAATGTTTTTTTGTTTTGGGTTTTGTTTTTGAATCCACCCCCCTTCAGCATCTCCCATGGCTAGTCACAGAACGAGGTATTCAAAGGCAGTTGGTTGATTGGTTCCCGTAGGAGGCACCAAATCCTTGGTGTGAGTCATCATGGTGCAATACACGGCTGTGCATTTATTAGTAATTGGTGGTAAGGAAGCTGGAGACAATAACTCATCAAATTAGAGTATACCCAACTCACTGCATATCTCAATTCAATTTAATTTTTTAAATATCTCAGCCCCAGGTCAACAAATCACAATGCTGAAAATTCCCACATATTATAGTAGGGAAAATACCTGCCAGTTTTAAGGTTCTGCTTTGCGAACATGGGCAGTAGTCACGGTTATTTCTCCAGCAATACCATAACTTCCTAAGGGAGCATGTGTGTCACCAGACCCTGAACGGCTTTTGGCAACACCTTCTACTGGGAAAGCAACAGAAAGAAAAGCTGGGCTTTGTGGCCTGGGGACATCTTGTCCACTTGTAGGAGCACTAGCATTCTGGAGTTTGGGGGGGTGTTTCTGGCATTTCTGATCTGCAGGAACTGCAATGGGAACTTGGACTGCAGCACATCTCTTCAAGGGATCTGCCTGGGAGACCACAGCATGTCCAGGAAGAGGTTTCCAATCCTGTGCTTCCTGAACATTTGAGCCTACTAGAATAAAAGGCGGGGCACTGGTCTTCTTGCCGTCATCCATCATCACATAAACTGGAGAAGTAACTTTCGGTGGATGCTGCAGAAACTGTGGATCATTAGGATTAGGTAAATAGAGGGTTGCTTGGGGGGAAAGGCCCAGGAGCAGGTGGCGGTGATGGGCGACTTAGTTGATTCATATCAGTTAGACAATAAAGGGTCCACATGTTAGAATATGGTGGTGCTTGTCCTGCTTCGCTTGTTGCCACTGCTATAGAAACAAAAACGCAAGCATTAAGGTTTGGTTTCTGTATCAGGCACTATGCATCGAGATGCCTTTTAAAACATTTTTACATATAAACAAACAGCTGTAGTAATATGTGCCATAAAGCATGCTATAGAGAGGGCCAAGTAAATTGTGTTTGGTAATGTGAAACAAGAGATTCTCTACAGCTGGAAAATGAGAACAGTGCTGCAATAGCAACTGGCAAGGATATAAGTGGTGGGTGAAGAAGCAGTCTCCTTCTAAGTTGCTGTTTCCAGGTACTTAAAACTTTAGACATGGCTTCTACAGGGTCCTCAAGAGGAAATAGAAACTCAACACTTTTGGCTTTACCAAAAAAATTCAATTGAGGAGTGTGTTAAGCCATTGAAAAAAGGGTTGATGCATCTGCAGTGATTTTTTTCTTTACTACAGAAATCTGCACTAGGTGTACTCTTTTGATCACATAATCAAATATCTTTGGCCCTTTAAGTACTATTATCTCCCATTAATTTGTTACCACACACAACACATCAGATAATCTAGAACTCAGAACCCCAGAGAGTACGGCTTTTAGGAAAGGCTGAAATCTTAGGTCCTAGGTGTCAGTAAAAGGCTGGTTGGTCCCACAGTATCCTTTAATAAAAAGAGGTCGAGGCATGCCATCCACCTACTTACACCAAGGGCTCTTCAAGGTCAGCTTTGACTTTCCTAATGAAGATGGTACTGCCTTAGAGGACTGCGCCCTAGAATATGGGACGGAGGAGAAAAGGTTCCTGATGGAAGAGCTGAACTTTGCCAAAATGTGACGAGTTCTATTGAACGCTGGGTCCTCTGTCATTGCTGCAGCTTTGTCTCTTTCCCAGAAGAGACAACACCGTGCACACGATGAAGCTAGTGTGTTTTCAATAGCTCCAGATACTTTCAATTGATTTTTCCTGAAGCTAATTAAGACAGATGCACAAACCAAGTCTTCAGTATTTTTGTTAAATACCCTCTTAGCACTTGCTCGAGAAATATTGGGTTGTTGGAAAAGTCATGACGTATTTTTCTATGTTTTTCATTGCAGAAATGCATCACGACTTTTCCAACAACCCAATAGTTAGGCATTTGAGAACGGTGACTTGAAAGTGCTGCTTAAGCCACAGGTGTGATGCCAGTCCCACACACTACATTCCCAGCACTGGCCTTTCCAGCTGTGCAGAATCCCTGTCACACTGCCAGACACAATTTGTTCTCTAAATACTTACTTGGTTGACGGTACCTTTGGTAACATTCTGGCTCTAGCAAGAGTCAAAAGTTCAGAGAGTTTCTGCAAAAGGAATGGGGGAAGTAGGCTCATGCATGTCTCATCTATCCGTAGCGGGACAAGGACCCCTGCGCTTGTCTAGATGCGGCAGGAAGGTGAGCAGACCAAATGCCATAATTAGATTGAGACAGAGGTTAAATCACATCTGGGTCACAGGAAAGCCATGGGGAAGTTCAGCAGCCCAAAAGGCAGCTTGATGTGGGCACTTGTGGGGAATTAATAAAAGGAAGCCAGTCATCTTAGCTGTGTCCATTATGGCTCGAGTGCCTGCCTGTCCTTTCCACTGCTGCTACCTCCCTGCTCCCGTGTGACACACAGCCCTTCAGCCTGACCAGTCCTCTCTCCAACCATTTGAAGCTGCTCCCTCCGCTGCGGAAGCTCTCAGGCAGGAAATCAGTGCTTGACCAGCTCCCTAAACCGGGCTGCCGAGCTCTCCTGACTCCATGCGAAAGCAGGAACACACTGCCGTTCTCTCACTTTTAAAATGCCACAGCCTATGTCAACGCACTAGTGTATGTGACTTTACATTCACAAGTGAGAAAGTTCAAACCAGCACCCCTCATTACAGCTTTTCAGTAGGAATATTCAGAACACATGAATACATTTGTACCTCACAACAGGCTCTGATTATTTTCACTACATAATATGTACAAAAGAATAACACAAAAGTGCTAGATGACCAAACTTGAGGTCAAGTTTTGGTGATGTCAATTTAAAATCACTCATCTCATGAGAGTAAAATCCCAACTACAGCAAAGCCTTTAAATAGGTTTGGCATTCCAAAAGCCCTTGAAAATAAAGACTTTTGACCAATCTTCAGAGAGCCTACCTAGATGGTTACCTGAAATACAGATGTCAATATAAAAGTATTTTTCAATTTTGTAAGTATCTAACTTTCTTACCTGGCTCCATCAAACCTTGCTCAGGTGCTGCTTCCCATTCTGGTTCAACTTCTGGTTGAGTAGAACCTTCTGGTACAGGATAAAGGGGGCCACTAGACGATCTTATAGAAGTACCTGCGTGCTCAGCTTTTGTAGCTCCCCCTGAAGGTTTGACCTCCATTTCCTGGGATTCAGAGTTTTCATATGACTCTTCCTGCCCAGGCACTACTGCAACCATCTCCACTTCAAGGTGCAGAGATTTTTCAGAGCCTGCTGCTATGGTAGAGCCCTCTACATCCAAGGATTGTGCAGGTGGACCATTCAAAGAATCGTCAGAGATCACAACTGTGGCTTCTCCCTCCACATATACTGAGGGATCATATTTTGCATCCCCCAACTGTGCAAATTTTGCAGAGTTTTCAGACATGTCTGAGGCTGTCTTGCCTACAGGTATGAGGCTAACTAGTGGGGACAGCTCATTTTCTTTAAGACAAGCAACTTGATCAGTTAAAGGGATGGCCATTTGTTCTGGTGTTTGCTGCACATAAGTAACTCCTTCAGTCACAGGCTCATCTTTATAGATAGATGATATATGAACGGTTGATGTAACCTCAATATCAGCCTGCAAAGGGACCTCAGGAGCTTGATGGTAAGCAGGAGGTTCTTGTTCATCCTGCAAGGGGAGTGAGGAAGCTGTGGATGCTTCAGCCTTATCGTCTTTATGTTTAGAGACCAAGTCTACATGGACAGATGTTTTACAACCTGCATTGCTACCCCCTCTCCAGAATACATGACAGAAGCAGCTGACACGTTATCTTCAGCTGCCTCTGAGCTCAACACCTCGTTGGAAATAATAGGCATACATGTTGCCACATTCACCATTAAAACCTCAGACTGATTAGAATGAATAGATGAAACGTTACCTAACATCTGAGCAGCAAACTGAGCTGGGTCAGCTGGGACATAGGCCAGCTCTGGTGGGACAGCTGTTGGAGATGGTGATGAGGCGGGGGTAGTGATCTTAGGTGTGGCTGGTTTTGAAGGACCACGAACTGCTTTGGATGTCTCCTCAGGCTCTGGGAGCTGCTCAGCATGAACTGATGGGAACTGAGTGGTTTTGTTGTTAAACAGTGGTCCAGCTATATTGTCCTCCTCTGTGTCCGTAGATTTTTCCACCCGTGTAGGTTCTTGGGAAACTGTGGATGTTCCTGTTGGTTCTTTTACACATTTGGCTTTCTTCTCTTGTGTTGCTCCTTCTGACCACTTCTCAACTACAATAATAGCCAGATGATTAAGTACCTCCCAGAAATGAAGAATTTTAAAGAAAGTAGCAAGAGGTTGAGCATTCAAATGTCAATATATACACAAGTACAAAGGGTTCTGCTTTATATTCTAACGTGTGATTCAGTGTGGGTAAGGAATCATTCCTCTTCTATCCACTCAAGAGATACCTCAGTTCATTTCCTTAAAAACAAGGGTCTCCAGGTAGTACAGTGACAAAACTAATAACCAGATACCACTTTTGGCTGGTCAGCATCAGGGGAAAGGTCCTATCTCTGCCTAGAAATGAGGAAGCTGAAAATCTCCGCACAAAAGCTGCTGTTCCAAACGTCCACACACAACAAGGAAGGGAGGAAAAAAAAAGACTTCAACATAGCCAATAAATATCTAATCTTCAGCTGGTATAATACCAGTAATGAAACAAATGCTGTCATATTAATAAAGGCATTCCTCAATTTAAGGAAATCAGTATATTAGGTTTAACTTAATGAATTAGAAAACTAAAGGAAAATAGGGTATTTTTACATTACGAAACATCACATATTCCAACCTATAAATGGTAGCACCTCTGGCGCAGTCTGATAATGCAGCCAAATTCCTGCTGGCCCAGACAAGAGGAGCAGAAAATGATCTCCGGATCCATCAGTATGGACTCTGTGAATCCTCAGGCATAAGGAAATTCCTTGGAAGGTTTAGGAGGGCAAGGCAGCTGATGATCTAGAAACTCCTAGAGCTGGAAAACTAAAATCATGTTGTGCTTGTCACCCGCACACTTTGGTAGCCACCTTAGTTGTTACTCACTGAACATTTTTATATCTGCTGACTTTACTGAGGATTTCCCTTGGGGATGCATTCCCCTAATATCATAATGAAATCTGAACAAAAAGTAGAATTTGCTTTACAAGAATGTGTTTGCTTCAAATCAAAATGTGGTTTGGAGACATGTGTTCATACATTCAGATACTTCCCAAAGAACAGTGTCTCCTTCCACTGTAGCTGCTGATTTCTTGTAAACTCAAGCTAGGTGTCTAGTTCTGGACATGGATACCACACCAAATGCTCACGTGTAAAACAGTAAAGCTACATCTACTCTTACTTAGAACCACCACCTAATTTTCCTAACCATTCACCTCTTCGAGACTCCCCCACCCACTTTCATGTGTGTGTGTGTGTGTGTTAGAAATTTTATTGGGGAACAGTGTGTTTTTCCAGGATCCATTAGCTCCAAGTCAAGTAGTTGTTTTAATCTAGTTGTGGAGGGCGTTTTTCCAGGACCCATCAGCTCCATGTCAAGTAGTTGTTTTCAATCTAGTTGTGGAGGGTGCAGCTCCATGGCCCATGTGTGATTCGAACCAGCAACCTTGGTGTTACGAGCCTGTGCTCTAACCACCTGAGCCAACCAGCCGCTGCAACCTCCGCCCTCTGCCACATTTTAACAAAGCCCTTTGTCCTCTAATACACCTGACTGAATGCTTGTACTGTGTTACGACACCATACTAAGCACTGTTGAGGACACAAACATTATTAAAATGAGACTTTATAAAGCTGACATTCAGTGGGGAGATAACATAAATATACAAACATAGGTGAAAAAAGTATAAGAACCTAATACTGGTCCTAATAAAGATCTATGGACATTCAGAGGAAGAAAAGAACAATTCTGGTGGAGGAATAAGGGAAATTTTATTTAAATAAGTCTGGCCTTACACTTAACCATAGAAAACTCCAAAATTATCATTCCCATTATAATGAGAAGAAGTCAGATAAATAAAATAACTTTTCTTGAGCCCATCAGAGAAGAGAGTCACAAAGCAATCAAGTAACCTGATTTACAAAGAGAAAAAAGGCCACAACTGTCTGATCTGTGGCAGGGCCTGGAAAGGAGAGGCCACCGCCATACTAGCTGGTAAGGTATCAGATAAAATCTGAATGTACTGGTAAAGACCAAATGTGCGCTAGGGTGTCAGTGTGGAATAGCCTGGGACTCCATACCCAAGGAGAGTACAACTCACTCACAAGCACTTTTCCATGGCCTCCCATGAAGGATGGAGCAGGGGCGATAACCAGAGAGAAGGACTTATATCAACACCCAACAGAGGTCCCTTACCACTGGGACAAGGGCAGGAAACACTGGCTTTAAGACTGACTACAGATGCAAGGCAGAGTTTGGCTGCTACAAGGACAACCAGCAGGAAAACTGAGAAAACCCCACCCCCAAGGCTCAGGTGCTCAGGGCCAGCCTAGGCCTGAGAGCCCCCCTGCACTGACCACCAGCTCAGTACCAAGTAACAAGAAACAGCAGGCTTTCCATCCCTGGGTGAGGAGTGAGAATGTGGGAAGAGCTGCCTCCTGTGGTGCAGGTTGGTGGCAAAAGCTGAGGGTGATGCCCAGGCATGGAGAAAGCACCCCAGCCCCAACCTCAGCACAAGGTAACAGCAACCCATTGCTGAAGGGATTTGAGGCCTGCGGTACAGTGAAGGTAATGAACTCCACCACAAACCCAAGCCCAACTTCTGACTAGACCTGCTCACCCTGACACCAATTCAAGGCCTCTATGACTCTGTTCTCCCCCAGAAGGGCTTTAATTCCCCAATGATTGATTTACCATGAGAGTTTTCCAGAGCCCAATCAATGGAGGTATCGAATTACTACAATCTCTACATTGCCTGCCTGGGACCTCTCTGATATATCACTTACATGATACGGTTTCAGCAACTCTGGAAAGGCCCACCAGCCCTTTTAAAAGTGTCTCCCTCGCGGGTTTGTCATACTGGTAATTCTCTCTAGGAGATTAGTCCCTAGGCTTAATATTTTTTGCCTCTAGGAGTCCCCCATTAAACAACCACCATTCTGGAAAGGTAAAGCATTATGTAATTGTGAATCATGAACTCATCAGGGAATTTATGATATTCTTTCCTCCCTGCAGCTTTTTCACAGTAAGAGTATGAGAGAAGAGCTGGGTTTCAGTCCTGTGATTTAATAGCGCATGGCCCTGTCTAATGCAACAGTTCTGAGCTTCAGCCTCTTCATCTGTGAAACGGGGATTATAATCCCACCTTCACTGAGTTTGTGTGGAGATGAAATGGAATCATTCGTCTGAAAGTGTACTAAACTGTAAACACATATAAACAAAAAAAGAATGAATACCTAGTTAAAAAGAAAAGTTTTGAAATATGATACCAAATTAAAATATATAAACATCTTATCTTTAATTCAGCTGTGATTAAAAGTAAATTGGCTATTTCTTAAACTGGACAATAAGATGCAGGGTGTTTTAAAATAATATATGTGTACATGTATGTAACATATATGTACACATATATGTCATATATACTATTTTGAATATACAAGGTGTGATAAAAATTATGGTGGATGTTTACAAATTAAAAAAAAATTATTGCAGTAAAAGACACGTTGCCATTAATGCCCCTCAAAATATACCTCCCTCGCTTTGAACACACTTATCCCATCGTTCTTGCCACTTTCTGAAGCAGTTCTGGAAGTCCTCTTTCATGAGTGTCTTTAGTTGCACTGTCGTGGCTGCCTTGATGTCCTGAATTGATTCAAAATGTTTACCTTTTATGGTCATTTTGACTTTGGGGAAGAGCCAGAAGTCATATGGTGCCAGGTCCAGTGAATAAGGTGGATGAGGATACACTGTAATGTTTTATATTTGACAGAATGTGTGATATGGAGCGTTGTCATGATGGAGGATGAAGTCAAGACACTCATGAAAGAGGACTTCCAGAACTGCTTCAGAAAGTGGCAAGACGATGGGATACGTGGGTTCGAAGTAAGGTGCAGTATTTTGAGGGGGATTAATGACAATGTGTCTTTTACTGTAATACATTATTTTATTTAAACATTCACCATATCTTTAATCATACCTTGTACATTTCATAACTCTAAAAAATTAAGTTAAGATCAGATGCCTTAAGCCTTATTGTTTTTGAAAAGGTTAAGCACTAGATTAACCATTTGGGTTTGTTTACAAAACATAAGAGAATGTTAGCAAATATATGCATACTATTTACCACATATATATAACTTAAATCTATACTGAGTTCCTGTTGATATGTTTATTAAGGAAGGTAAAGAGCTTTTCTCTAATGTTTTAAGATCTATTTTAATAATTCCAAAGATTGCTGACTTGTAACCTTGAGATTATTGTTCGCGCAATGAACTATTTCTTAAAGTTGTAAACTAGGTTTGCTATAGGTTGATCCTATCAACTTTATAAAGATTAACCTAATATGACTTCAGTGAATTGGTTCTATTTAAACTAAAAACAACAAAACTGTATAGACTCTCAGAATTAAGAGCATAGCTAAAGGTCTTCCTCCTTGTAAAACGTGTAAATATTATTTTGAAGTGTAATAAAGTGATTGATTAAAACTCATTGTAGAATCTTGATACTGAAATTCCATGGAACCAAAAAGATAAATTCCAAGCATACAGTATTTCTTGGAATAAGCAGAACTTATGTGGAGACTTGGGGTGCTGGGACACATAACTGCTGGAGAAGAATAAGGAAAAAGGCACATTCTGGCACTAAAAGGAAGTCTGAATGGTGTCAATGACAAGAGGAAAATAAGAAGACATAATAGAGGAGATAGGAGAGGTGATTAATAAGAGAGAAGACAGGAGACATAGACTGGCGGTGGAAAACTCAGTAGAGTGCTTAAAGTCAAGAATTTGGAATATGTACAATACATATAACTTTTAAGAGTTTAAAACAGAAGAGAATGCCAACTATTGTGTGTTGAACTGATTGAAATAAGGAATACCAGCGACTATATAAAGTAGGCAGTCTGTTTCTTTTCTCCCCTTCCTCTCTTCTCTTCCTTCTCCAGTCATGAACTTCTATGATGTGACAGACACTGAGGAATCAAAGATGATTAAGATCTCCTAAAGAGTACTATCTGATTGAGGATAGAGGCACATAAACAGCTGGTTATATGAGTGTGGTGGGTGCAGTGACTGAACTATG